CCACCAACAGTGCAAAGGGTTCCCTTTTTTCACATCCTGGCCAACACTTGTTGTTTGTTGATTTATTGATGATTGCCATACCGACAAGTATGAGGTGATATTGCATTGTGGTTTTAATTTTCATTTCCTTGATGATTAGTGATGTTGAGCATATTTTTATATGTCTATTGACTATCTGTATGTCCTCTTTGGAGAAATGTTTGTTTAGGTCCTCTGACCAATTAACTGGTTTACTTTTTTGGTGTTAGGTTGTATGAGTACTTATATATTTTGGATATTAAGCCTATAACATGTCTCCATGGTTCCTGGCCTGAGCAAATGGAAGAATTCATTGGCAAAGGAGCAACTGAAATCATTGGCAAATATCTTCTCCCGTTCAGTAGGCTGTCTTTTAACTTTGTTGATGGTTTCTTTCTCTGTGTAAAAACTTACTAATTTGAATGTAGTCCTATTGACTTATTTTTTGTTTTGTTCCCTTGCCTGGGGAGACCTAGTCAGAAAACATATTGCTCACAGCAATGTCTGAGAGTTCACTGCCTGTGTCCTTCCAGGATTGTTATGATTTCAGGCCTTACTTGTAAGCCTTTAGTCCATTTTGAGTTTATTCTTGTATATGATGTATACAAGTGACCCAGTTTTATTATTTCCCATGGCTCCGATCTAATTGTCTTCATAATCCTTTAGTTGTTCTTTCGTCTCAACTCTCTCTTTATGACTTTCTGAATTATGGAGGCCATGTCTTACATCTTCTTGGGGATGTTGAGGTGCCCTAAAATTCATTGAGTTCTTGTGGTACATCATTTTCAAAATACGGATTTTGTTTGCATCTTCAGGATAATTGACTAATTCATTCAACAGCTACTCGAGCACTTAATGTGACACACTGCTGTGCTGGGTGGTTTGGGATGTATCAGAGCAAGAGAGACAATCTTCTCCTTAAGTTTACATTTGGGTGAGAGGGGAAAGACAGTGAACAAAACAAAAACTAGGTACTGCAGAATGTTAGAAGGGTTCAAAGTTCTGGCAAAACAGAGTGGTACAGGTAATTGGATGGCATACCACAGGGAGACTTCGTCGAGAAGGTGAAATTTGATCAGACCGGAAGAATGCTCAGGAATTGCTCCTGAGAAAGAGCTTAGCAGACGGGGATCCGGCAGGTGCAGGGGATCCGGCAGGTGCAGGGGATCCGGCAGGTGCAAGGCCCGCGAGGCGAGAGCATGCCCGGTGTGCTTGGAGAGAAGCAGGGAGCCCAGGCAACACAGCCAACCAGGGACAGAAGACAGGCGAAGAGGCCACACAAGTGTAACTCGGGGACACATCATGAGAGACCGTGAAGGCCACCGAAAGGACTTTGCCTTTGACCCGAAAGATGGAAAGTCGTGGAGAGTTTCGAGCGAAGGCTCGATCTGATTACATCGACAAGAACCGTTTCCACTATTCTGTTGTGGAGGCTCTGGGGGAGGGGGTGAACGGTAGACACACTGAGGCCAGTGAGAAAACAGGTGAGAGGTGCTTGTAACTAAGGACCAGGTAGTTGCAGACCAGGAGGTAATGAGCACTGGTCAGACTCCAGACAGATTTTGAGGGCAGGAGCAGAAGGATTTCCAGAGGAACTGGGTGTGGGTAGTGCGGGGAGGGAAGGGGTCGGTATGACTCCATGGCTCGTGGCCTGAACAACTGGAAGGATTCAGTTTCCATCAACGGAGACGGCACAGAATGTTGTGGACCAGGTCCGGGAACAGACTGGAACGTGGTTTTGGACGTGCTAGATTCGAAATGAAGAATGATGATGTCAAAGAGAACATTAGACACCAGTCCAAGTTCAGGAGCGAAGCGGGAGGCTCACTTGGGATGTGTCAGCACCTAAATGCCTTTCAAATGATAAGAGCAGGTCAGATTACAGAGGGTTATGTGTGTGTGGGGGGGGGGGGGGGGCGCGGCACAGAGCTGAACTGTGGGGTGGAGCCATGCTGAGCTGACACTGCCTCTCTCCCACTGCTCATCATAAGTCATCAAGGGCACTTGTCGAAGTGGTTAAATGAAGGAGTGTAGGTTTCAAAACAATGACATATACCCGAGGCATAAAATCGCATGCTTGACTTTTCTTATAGTTCGGTTTCTGACGTCTGACTCTAGCCTCTCATGTATGCTATTTACTGTTGCCTTGGACTGTTTCATAGATGTTTTGATTCCAGGGCCTCGTCACATGAAAAGAACCTAATGGAATAGTGTAAAATCGGAATCTTTCTATACCCTGTTGTTATAAAAGGACCCCCCCCTCTGTGCACGGCGCCCCCTGCAGTGAGGACTGCGAGGCCTGGTCTCACTCGGACACTAGCGCACGAGTGTGGTTTTCGCCGCGACCGCCAGGGGGCGCGGCACCGCGCAGGTGCTGTGGGGACCACTGCTGCCACCGGCTTCCGCTGCCTCCTAGGTGGGGTGGTCACGCTTTCCTTCATCTCCCCACTGACCTGTTCCGAGAAGCTGCTCAGAATAAAACAGGAGCCAGAATAAAAGAACTGGTGTCCCTTATTCTACTTGATTTTCAGAAAAAGTCCGAGTAAAACACACATGGACTTGGAAATGAGGCCCAAGCCCTGCACCGGGCTAAGGGACGACCCCTAGGAACGAGGTCAGGCCCTGCACCGGGCTAAGGGACGACCCCTAGGACCGAGGCCCGGGCCCCGCACCGGGCTAAGGGACGACCCCCAGGAACGAGGCCCGGGCCCCGCACCGAGCTAAGGGACGACCCCTAGGACCGAGGCCGGGCCCCGCACCGGGCTAAGGGACGACCCCCAGGACCGAGGCCCGGGCCCCGCACCGGGCTAAGGGACGACCCCTAGGAACGAGGTCAGGCCCTGCACCGGGCTAAGGGACGACCCCTAGGAACGAGGCCCGGGCCCCGCACCGGGCTAAGGGACGACCCCCAGGAACGAGGCCCGGGCCCCGCACCGAGCTAAGGGACGACCCCTAGGACCGAGGCCGGGCCCCGCACCGGGCTAAGGGACGACCCCCAGGACCGAGGCCCGGGCCCCGCACCGGGCTAAGGGACGACCCCCAGGACCGAGGCCCGGGCCCCGCACCGGGCTAAGGGACGACCCCTAGGAACGAGGCCCGGGCCCTGCGTCGGGCTAAGGGACGACCCCCAGGAACGAGGCCCGGGCCCCGCACCGGGCTAAGGGACGACCCCTAGGGACGAGGCCCGGACCCTGCGTCGGGCTAAGGGACGACCCCTAGGGACGAGGCCGGGCTAAGGGACGACCCCTAGGAATGAGGCTGGGGCCCTGCACCGGGCTAAGGGACGACCCCTAGGAACGAGGCCCGGGCCCTGCGTCGGGCTAAGGGACGACCCCCAGGAACGAGGCCCGGGCCCCGCACCGGGCTAAGGGACGACCCCTAGGAACGAGGCCCGGGCCCCGCGTCGGGCTAAGGGACGACCCCTAGGGACGAGGCCCGGACCCTGCGTCGGGCTAAGGGACGACCCCTAGGGACGAGGCCGGGCTAAGGGACGACCCCTAGGAATGAGGCTGGGGCCCTGCACCGGGCTAAGGGACGACCCCTAGGAACGAGGCCGGGGCCCTGCATCGGGCTAAGGGACGACTCCATTCATCCACAGCACGCACACAGCGGTGGACGGTACGGGAAGTGGGGTGCAGCTCCCAGGACTCGGGGTCCTCCCATTGCTTTGGGCACGTCCCGCACGAAGACACGCACTGTACTGCGTTCTGCGACAAATGTGCAGATGCTCTGGCCGGTTCACGCTCCTACTGCTCACCCACGGAAGAACGGGACAGGCTCGTCCACTTCCACGCGGAAACACAAACTTAGATGAAGAGAAGTTACCCTTGGCCTAGTAATACTGGCTCGGCACGAGGGACACCGAGTGGCGGTCATTCTCAACGGCTGCTGGCCTACTTTGAGTGAAGGGACCCAGGGCTGCAGAGGAGTCGGCGCCGGCAACGCTGCCGAGCACCAAGCAGCTTCAAGGCTGACGGAGAACTTTCGGCTTCCTTTTATTCCTGCCTCCCCAGTCTGCACATGTTTTGGCATTTTCAGGGCCCTGCATGCTGCACAGAAATGAAAGATGCCAGTTTTTGCGATAAAACGCTGAAGTGACAATTTTCTAGTGAAGAGTGATTGCGCAGGCAGGCTGATAAAGTGAGCATCCACAGGGGGCCTGTCTGATGTGTACGAACTAGGCTCCCGCCATTTCTTTAAAACATTTTCCCCCCTTTATTGATTTCCGAGAGAGAGGAAGGGAGAGGCAGAGAGAGAAACATCGATGAGAGAGCATCGAATGGCCACCTCCTGCATGCCCCCCACTGGGGACCTGGCCCACGACCTGGGCATGTGCCCAGGGAATCCAACTGGTGACCTCGAGTTATGACAGCAGAGGAGCCAAAAGACCACAGATACTGCGGGGTCCAGCCCAGGAAGAGCTCATTACCCAGTACTGGGGTCACAGAACTGCTGCGGAGCCATAGGTTTCTGTGATTAAAGAAACATAAACCACCAGGGGGCATTATAAAAATACTGACCTGATTTCATTGGGTATCAACTAGTATTTACAAAGTTACTTGAATTTTTCTGTTGATTTTCATTATTGCTAAATAATGATAGTTTGATGGAGGGTAAACTTCATTTTAAGTGCAGCATGATCTGAGCTGAACGGAAAAAAAGACCGAGGGAGGCAGGAAGACAGGCCCGGCATCAATTTGAACCACACTGCCTTGTGTTTCTGACCAAGGCGGCTCCCGTCTCCAAGGTTACCACAACGCAGTCAGACATGCCGCCATTGGAAGGGCCTCAGGATGAAACGAGAGAAAGAGGAGAGAAACCCATCCTGGCCCAGGCTCCCAGCAGCAATGTAAACGCAGAGAGGACTACAAACACACGGTTTTGTCATATAAATGTTTCCTTTATTTTTTTTTATGGTTAAAATTTTAAAAAATAATTTTATAATATTTTTTTAAATATTCCTTTTAAAGTAGCATACTTTATTAAAAGAAACACTGGAAATAAGGATTCTTTTGAGAAATAATCTCCATCTTCACTGACAGGTACGGAGAAACCAGAATTCTACACCAACTAGTGGAAAATTAACCACCGGTGAGTCTAGTTCCAATCCCCGAAAAAGGACACACAACACGTCAGGACTGATTCTGCCCATTCAGTTAAACATTCCTACTACTGAACTATATCCACTAACGGAAATTCTAAAAACCCTCAATTTCCTGGGTATCCATTTTGTCAAAAGATTTAGTATTTACTACCTTACTTACGTTAACTGACATTCACCAAGAGTGGAGACCAGCAACCGCACTCTGCATATGTAAGACTTTCCTCTCTTTAAATGCTCCGAGTGAGCTGTAAAACTGAGCAATTACATTTACATTTTCATAACTTGCAGGTGTCTGAGTCTCTCTCGATCTGCTTCCTCCCTTCAAATTTCTTTCCATTCTCAACAGAACATTTTTGCTTTCTTAGTGCTAATCCTGCAGACTTTTTAAAGAAAAGATTGTTTCATACATTTTGAATTAAAATGACCAAAACAAATAAAACCTACAGAGGATCATCCCCCACTATAAATACCAGTATTTTCTATTAACCCTATTTCAGATGGAGAGCGATATTTATGTCAAGATGTCCAGCGCACAAGCTTCTGCAGAACCTCCAACTTCATTATAAAGCTTCCTCAACATAGTCGAGGATTGATTTTTGCTCTGACCTGTTTAAACACAAGGAAGTTGGTATGTTTTAATAACGTTAAAGTGTTTTCTTGTTCTGAAAACAGATTGGTGGCGACCCGCATTTGATTGCCCAGGCTCCTGACTTTATATTCATTACTGTTGGCTAATTGGACACCTGACTGTTCAAAATGCATCTCCCAGAGGATGATCAGGTGCAAAAACAGCAAATTCTAAGCATACAACTCTGCTCCCTTTAGCATGTCTGGATAAATAAGGGTTGGTGGAAGTTCAAGAGGGGGGCCATCAGGGAGAATCAAGCCAGGGGTGAGTTCCTGCGGATTTTCCTCACTCCTGTTAGGACTGGTCCCCCTTATGGAGGCCGACCCAGGGAGACTGGACCATGGCTTGTGGCAGATGGTGGACACTTGCAAAACTACAATGACGTTCTCCAATAATCTTATTATCTCCAGTGTTATGGTGCCACACTACTATGCTTTCACACTGTTTAAAATTCCCATCTCCATAATTCAGATGTCAAGAAATTACTACACATTCCTTGATAGTCAAAAAATAGATTTACTGGAATGTTTTTAGTTACAGCTGGAGGCAGCAGCGGTCACAACACTTAGCTTCTGTTACACCCACAAACACGTGGAGAGCGGTAATGTGAGGAGCATCTGGGAGTCAGGGGGAAAGGCCACAGAGGCTGCTGACCCCGCCCCGGTGCAGGAATGCGAGCCTTCTGCCGTTAAAGCGGCAGGGACTGGCGCTGTCTGTTTCACTAGACACAAATGGAGCTGCGCGTGGCTTCAAGTGAGGTCCCTGGAACATGGCAGGACAGAGGCGGGCTCTTGGCCTTGAACATAATTACTAAAAGCACGTTTTGCTAGAGGGGAAGAAGACAATGGACATTCTCGATGCTCCAGGTGGAAGTGGTACTTGCCTCTTAGTTTCTTGAAAAAGAAGTTTTGAAAGTTATATACATGGGTTTCATTTAAATTATGCAGCAATCCTGTATTATTACTATTATTGTCCCGATTCTGTCTACCGAAGCTCTCCATCATCGAGTCAAGTGCGGTACTTCACCACTGTGAGAACTGCAAGAGGAAAACACGAAAAGGAACACGTCAAACGGGGACTCACATGTGTTACAACACTGCTCCTAAGGGCGGCGGCGGCTGCTTTGGAAGGGCTGCTGCGGACTCAACTTCTGGCCGAGACCAGGTAACAATGGGGACGGAGAAGAAAAACGGCACAAAACCACCCGAATGTCTAACGTTGGCAGTTTGATCACAGATTACGGCAGATCCTCCGCATGCCGCTGCCAAAGTATTTTAAACATATTCAGTAACGTGCGATGACACGCTTGTTAATAAGGAAATGTGTATTATCTTAGTTTGGGGAAACATGTTTCTGATCAACAGGAAGAGACTTGGTGTGTATGCTGTAGTTATAGTAACAGCAGCTTTCTCTGGATGTCCCAGTGGAACTGTACTTTCTCCTTTAAGCTGTTCCAATGTTCCTCTTGTCCACTGACGAGGAGAAAGTCCCGAGAAGTCCCGGGTCCAACTGCAGCAGGGCGGAGGGAGGGGAGACAGGCTGGCCAGTGACAGCTGCTGGTGTAGACCCCAAGGCCCGGGACCCGTCCTTTCTGGCTAGCGCTTGGGTCGATCGACCCTGTCTCTGAAAAGCCTTCAGCTGTGAGTTTTCTTGTTTAACACAGCTTGTCACGAGTGGAATTTGATCTTTCCAAGAGCAGAAAAGGAGGCTGCTCCCTGATGAGTGGGGTGCCCACAGCGGTCCCACAGGGACTCTTCGGCCCTGCGGAGCCTGATGCACGCAGCCTGGCTGGACCAGGGAGGGGCATCCCTCCACAAAAACCCACGAGTGGCTGAGACACGTGCCACAGGGGGCGGGGTCCTCTGTGTGTTTGGCATCCTGTGGAGAGGGTTCCCTTGCCTGATGGTCCATTAGAGGTTGCCAGGACATGTGGCACTGGTGCCAGAAAGGTACTTCGCCTGGCTGGTGAGTTATAGGGGGACACTCTCAAGTCAATTTTATTAATTGTTCTGTGAGCACCAGTATGTCTTTTACTTTGACTTTCATTTTTTCTGGTAACCGAGCATAGTGACATCTTGTGGCCACTCGGTGTAACTACAGTTTGGGTTCTCTTGGACCAATGCCATTAGATTATAGCTTTGAAATTATAGGAGGTGGTTTTCACTCCCAAGAGATCACGGCTCCTTCTGGCCCCTCAGGGGCGGTTCCAGGTCACTAGAAGCCTTTCCATAAGTGTCTAGACTCATTGCCTGTGACACGTAGCTGTCTCACAGGGTCCCCTGCCCGTTTCCGGGCTCGAGGAAACACTTCTGGGTTGTCTGGTACACGCAAGGGCTTGGTCACCTGATACTCAAGCCCCTGAATACCGTGTGGTGCCCAGGCTCCTCCACGCCCGTAAGGGAGGGGCCACCACCCCAGGAGCAGCACATTTCAGACCCCAAACCGTTCCTTGGCCTTGATCAAAAACAAAAACTTTGAATTATGGGAAATCGAAGCTCCCAGACCTCCACAGCCTTCCCTGTTCAGGGACCCGGGCCAGGGCTCTCTGCACGGGATCTGGAGCTGAACTGTGCGTGCGTTTATGTAAAAGGGTCCCTGAAACATTTCGAAGAAAACTTCTTTACCAAAAGGGGAAATTAGGCAAGTCAGGCCTACTTGATGTTAAAATTACACGGGAAGCAGGAAGTGTCAAGTAAAAAGTAACTGTAGTCTTCATTCGTATGCATGTATTATTGCGATTAAAATGGTTTTTTTTTTTTTTTTTTGAAATTATATAAAATTTCCAAGAATCTGGAATGTCCTGATATTTTTATTTACAATTCTGGCTAATTTAAAAATGTGTGTTGCAGAGACAAGCACATTCCTGGGTCAGCTGGGTTGTAATCCCACCTTAGACCGTCATTTTGGCCTGTCATTTATTTACACGGGGGTTCTCCTACTCTGATGCTTGCTGTAGCATGCCTGATCTTCAGAGAAATTTCTGGAAAAGACATCCTGGAAAGAGTTTTTTTTTTTTTTTTTCATTTTTTGTTCAGACAGAGTGGGAGGGGGAGAGAGAGAGAGAAACATCGACGTGGAAGGGACACATCGAGTGGTTGCCACCTGCACGACCCAACCAGGGCCGGGGACAAACTGCAACCGAGGTACATGCCCTTAGCGGGAACCGAACCCGGCTCTCTCGGGACTGCAGGCCGACGCTCTAACCGCTGAGCCAAACCGGCCAGGGCCTGGAAAGAGTTCTTTACGACCCTGCTGGAGGGTCCTTTCCAGGTATTTGTGAATCCGTGCGGCCACGCCAGAGGGACCCGACTCCTGGGCCCACGTTCCCCCCTCGAACAGGGCGAATCCCCTGGGTGACCTGCACACGGCCTCCGCCTCGGCCTCGCTGGACGGGGAGAGCTGGATTCTGAGGGCTGAGTGCTTCCGCCTGGAGTCTGCAGGCCGGGCACACCTTCCACGTGGACTGGGCTGGGCAGGGTTCTCACACCTCGCTTCTGACCGCCCGCTCGCCCGCCCCGTTCCTAGCAGTGCTGGTCGTCGTCTTGGGACACCACGCTGCTCAACTGCTTTATTCCAGACCGCGTTCTAAGTCACTGCTGTCATCTGAAGAGTTGTCATGGTAACAGTTGCCCTCCCTCAGGCGTGGAAAGCAACTCCTCGGTCAGAACCTCACAGCCCTTCACACTGCGGGAATCTACCGGGAGGGAGAATGGCAGAGCCGCTCTTTGGGGAGAGCTCTTCATCCCTGGAGGGGCGCTGCCTCCCGTGAGCGCATGAGTGAGATGCGTTTCCTTGGTAACGCCCCTGGTGATGCCGCGGCCGCCAGGAAGCACAGCCGAGAGCCCGTCCCTCCGGGCAGTGCCCCTGTCTTCCCCACCCGGCCCTGCTGCTGGCGGCTCAGACCCCAGGCCTGGTCCTCTCTGGCGGGCACTTGGCTCGACAGACCTCCTTCTGAGAAGCTTCTGGCCATGGGAGTGTTGACCACCCCACAGCAGTACCGGCTGCATCCAAGCAGTACTTGGGGCCTCGCGAGTCACTACAAACGCTGTTAGTGAATGCTGACCCATCGCTCCCACGGGAACCGGCTCAATTCCTGTGGCCTCTGGCACGGCAGCTGTCAACTGATCAACACATAACCGTGTTTTGTGTGCGTCTGTTTAAAGACCTCACGGAAAATACTTCCGGTCAAACCATCAACCCCGACCTCCTGGCCGACAGCACTGGAACCGAGGCCGGAAGCCGCCTCCGGAACAGGCTGCTCTCCCCACATCACGGCCTTTCTGCACTCGGCTGCCCTGCTGGCTCCGCGCGGCACGTGGGGCGCACTCAGCGACGCCGCCGGCGACAGGCTCAGGTGTGAGAAACGGGGCACTGGACTCTGGCCACCTGCTTGCTCTGAGGGAGACGAGAAGGCAGACGGCCTCGTCACACCGCCGGGACACGTGTGTCAGGGACTCACACGTCATGCTCTGAGCGCACCTCAAGAACCGCCGTGGTCACGAGTCCACTTGCAGGTGGACGAGCAAGCCCTGAGCCCACCAGTACGAATGTGGAGCGACGCAATTGCTTCACAAAACTCTTTTCTCTTTAAAAAGAGAAGATTAGGCCCTGGCCGGTTTGGCTCAGCAGTCAGAGCATCAGCCCGTGGACCAAAGAGTTGCGGGTTCGATTCCAGTCAAGGGCACGGACCTCGGTTGCGGTTCAATCCCTGGCCCTGGTTGGAGTCGTGCGGGAGGCAACCAGTCAATGTGTCTCTCGCATCAATGTTTCTCTCTTTCTCTCTCTCTCTCTCTCTCTCTCTCTCTCTCTCCCCCCTGCTCCCTCCCACTCTATCTGAAGATAAATGGAAAATTATCCTCAGGTGAGGAAAAAAACACCAGAAGATTGCCATGGAAAATTTCAAATAGCTATTTTTTTATCCTCACCCGAGGACATTTTCCCATTTTTATTCAGATAGAGTGGGAAGGAGAGAGAGAGAAACATCAACGTGAAAGGGACACATCGAGTGGCTGCCACCCGCACAACTCAACCAGGGCCGGGAACAAACTGCAACCGAGGTACGTGCCCTTAGCAGGAACCGAACCCGGGTCTCTATGGACCACAGGCCAACGCTCTAACCGCTGAGCCAAACCGGCCAGGGCTCAAATGGATATTTTGAGACGCGCTCCAAATCTTCATAAAGTCCCTGTAAACACAGGTAAAGAGCCTCGGACAAAAGACGGTATTAAAAATGATCTTACTTGAAAAGGAATATTAAGGATATTAGTGACTGAAATCAAGTTCAAATGCAAAACAGAAACAAAACATTCATCTGGAGCATTTATCTAGGTTTGTCCGTCAAACACAACAGTAAGAAATGCAGCCCTGGCCAGTGTGCCCAGTGGTTAGGGCGCTGGCCCGAGGACCAGAGTTGTGGGTTTGATTCCTGCTCAAGGGCACGTACCTCGGTTGCAAGTCGATCCCCAGCCCCGGTCGGGGTCGTGTGGGAGGCAACCACTCAATGCCCCCCACCGTATCTAAAAGGTCAATGGAAAAGTATGGGGGGTGCAAGCCGCCGCTCCTGGACGTTGACACAGACAGGTCGAGCTGTGGCCTGGTGCCGCACGGGCCGCCCTGGCCGCAGAGCACGGAGTCCTGTGCTCGCACAGCTTAGGAGACTGTTCAGAGATCAGAGTCTAGGCTGAGGGATCTTGACTTGGGTCAGAAATCATTACTCGATCCTGACAGTCATACGGGTCAACAGAAAACAAATGAAAAAGGGAAAGAAAATGAATCCCCAAACAAATGATACTCCCCAAAGTGAACAATCCAGGAAATACTTACTGATGATCACCAACAGAAGGATAACAGCAACCAAAGCCATGATGGCTTTTATCTGCAACACACAAAGAGGCAAACGGAGGACATTGGTGTGAAGCCCGAGCTCATTCTCACGAGCATCTGCTGTTACCCACCATACCATACTGACTCACTGGTGAACAGTCATCCCCTAAAGGTCTTCAAATGTGTTTTCATATGAAATTGCTGGCTACTTGCACCCTTCTGTCAATAATCACGTTTCCCTGAACATGGGGGTTTTGCCTGCCTGAATTTCTCTGTTCAGGGCTCACTGCCCAGTGAGCAGGACCAATCAGTCTCCATGGCCCTGGACTGTCTATGATTTCTTGCAATGATTTCTAATAGGGGCCAGAAAAGTACGATGTTTTACCAACTCTTAAAGAGTAGCCTCAGCACCCAGCACACCAGTTCACACTCTCTTCCCAAAGGACCCGCGGATTCTGTTGGCTTTGGCTCCGCCTACTTTCTGCATTTTTATCTGTTTGAGGAAGGGATTTAGATTCTCCATAAATTACCTGATGTAATAGATAAGGTGGCATTCTCTGCATCAGTTTCGTAGTTGCAGGGAAGAAGCCTTAAGACTAGTCCTTAGTGAGCTAATATTTTAAGCTCACATCATTTCACTTTACAATATTGTCATATTCCTCATTTAATCCTAAAATACGTAAATTATAAATTGATTTGACTTTCCTGATGACTTCAAATGAAAGTCTTATTTTTATCAAAGGTTTTCACAGATGATTGATTAAAGGTGGTTCAGTCAGAAAAAAAGATACCCAGTTATTGTAAACACCTGAACATTCTGAGTATCAAAAATAGCAACCAGAAGTAGCCAATGAAATGCTTCTAAACTAGTACTGGTGACGTTATAAGGGCCTTCCACTCTTGACAAGAACAAAGGGACCAGAACACAGGGACGCTTTGCAATCTGGACACCAGGTACCTGTTGAGATTATTAACTGTGATACAGCAGGACATTATCAGGTGTCTGGGTCCACATTAGACTATAAACTCAAGTACTTTAGGGACAAAGTGATTCACAGTACATGCATGCTTTGTTTTTTATTTAACCTAAAAACATTTCTAAAGTAATTCAGAATTTTACAGTAGTTTTTCAACTTTACCCAAAACACACGTCAATTTGCCCTGCTAATTTGTGCTAGCTTAGAGATTTAAATGGAAATAAGGAGCGTATGTGAAAGTCAGATTTCAACAACGCCAAAAATGATACACGGAATCAGGAGGAAAAAGAAAAAATTTGCTCACATGCTACAAACTCTGAAAAGAAACATTTTCTGTTTAAAGATTAATAGCCACACCTGACTTAAGAAGTCAATTCATTTCTATAAAATGTTTTGCAGGAATATACTAATATATAACAATCTCATTTTTCCCCTTTAAAAATTTATTTATTTCTCTGGTATAATGAGAGACAGTGGATTTTTCCCCCTTTTAGCCAAATTGTTCATATTCTAACATATAAACTGCCTTTTCCCCACTTAAAAAATCATATTTTCTCTAGCTTTTGTTCTACCTCTTTAACATCGTATGAAATTCTATAGGCTCCGCCACAAGGTACTAACAACAAATTCTAAGAAAAACGAGTAGTTCCTATAAGTTTAGAAGGAGCTAAGTTATGAATAAAATGTAGATAAGTGTCTATGAAGAAATCATCAAAACATTCTTTTAGGCACTGCTTGATCCTTTAGTTACTTCCGTCCCCAGACGATCAATCCTGCAGCAGACACTCCCCGGGTCCCTCCCCGGGTCCCTCCCCGGGACCCTCCCCGGCCCAGGCAGAAGACAGGTGGAGAGCAGAGGCCCTGGTCTGCCCTCAAGCGGATACTCTGGGGCCCTTTTCTGCTTGAGCCTGGACAGCAGGGGGCGCTGACCAAACTGTCCCGCGGGCCTCTGCCTTACTTACTTTGCACCCGCGCCACCACATCTGCCGGCGAAGCTGTTTGGATCTGTTGCTAAAAGCAGTTGCGTTATCCGATAAGCTTTCTGTATCACATAGAAGATGGAGAGAGGGATTAAACGACAGAACAGGATTCTTTTATCTAGTCACACAAAGACAAGAGAACATCCATTTCTACTTCTGCAAATTTACTTCTTTTTAAGCATGAAAATATCCTCCTTTTCCTCCACCCAAAACCTTGACATTCTGTATGGTAAAAAAAAAAAAAAAACAATCCCCAAAAGCAAGAAACAAATCACCGAAGTTCAGTTTGCTCAACCCATTTTTACAATAAGAGAAGTCTTTCCAGGGCCTCAAGCCTTTCAAACAAACATGAATTCGGATAAGAAAATACTCTTTAAAAATTCAACTACTTGGCACAGCTATAGAAAAAAACTGACACGTGGAGTTTCCGGTCTTAGAAGACACCAAAAGCGACTGACTCAGAAGCCAAACACTCCGATTTCAGAACTGGTGAGACGAGCGTGTTTCAGCCAGGCGACAGGATGAGTCGGGCGTGCAGCCGCTCACCGTTCACACGACGTCCCAGTGCCCGACGTGCCAGGACCTGCCACAGGCAGAGCCCGGCAGCTGCCAGGGCAGGCAGCTCACTGTACCAGGGAAAGCACGAGATGAACACCAGAGAAGTCTGAAGTAAGAGTCGAGGTGATTACAGACCTCTCCTCCTGGACACATCAACAGAATAGGAGAGAAGACAACTCCACTCTAACTCTGCAACAATGAATTTTGTAGTTTTCCATTCTCAGCTGAGCACTTAAATAATCCAGCACCAAGACGACAAAGTGAAGGGAGCCAAAGCGAAAATGTCAGAGCACTCAGTTAAGAACCAAAGAGCATTTTCCGGGTCCAGGTCCCTAAACCCGGGCTAGAGAAACGGGAGACGGAACCATCAGAACAGGGGAGTAACGCCAAGAACTGATGAAACAGCTGTACCTGATTTGTCCTGCAGCTCATCTAGTCTCTCCCCTCTTTCAATCACCTTTGTGATGTTTTCTTGCATGACATCAATGACTTCGTCCACCTGATTCTGAACACTAGTTTTGGGGAAAAAAAAAGATTAAAAACATTTATTTTTCTTTTGAGAATTTTATAGTTTCTGAAACTTTCATTAGACATGATAGAAAATAGCAATTTCTCAGAATTATTCAGCTAGGACATGTCAAAGTTTAAGGTATTTCACAATTAGTACCTCAGGCAACGAAAGACACCGTGATAGAAATACAGTGATGTTTAGTTGTAGCCCCGTTTCTGCAAATGAAAGGGGCTGTCTGGGTGCTCGGGAGCTGCGAATCCAGGCGACCAGGTCGGCTCGGACTCATAGCGGATTGTCTTCGCAGCAGGGAGCTGGGCGCCCCCCGACACAGCTGGGAGCTCGGGCGCCCCCCCCCGACATAGCTGGGAGTTCGGGCGCCCCCCCCGACACAGCTGGGAGTTCGGGCGCCCCCCCGACACAGCTGGGAGCTCGGGCGCCCCCCCCCGACACAGCTGGGAGCTCGGGCGCCCCCCCCCACATAGCTGGGAGTTCGGGCGCCCCCCCGACACAGCTGGGAGTTCGGGCGCCCCCCCCGACACAGCTGGGAGCTCGGGCGCCCCCCCCCGACACAGCTGGGAGCTCGGGCGCCCCCCCCGACACAGCTGGGAGTTCGGGCGCCCCCCCCGACACAGCTGGGAGCTCAGGCGCCTCCCCGACACAGCTGGGAGCTCGGTCCCCCCCCCCCCCGACACAGCTGGGAGCTCAGGCGCCCCCCCGACACAGCTGGGAGCTCGGGCGCCCCCCCCCGACACAGCTGGGAGCTCAGGCGCCCCCCCGACACAGCTGGGAGCTCGGTCCCCCCCCCCCCCCCGACACAGCTGGGACCCGCTCTCTGGGCAGTTCACACGCTGGGACCAGCAGAGGCACTGGCCCAGGCATGTGAGATGCTGATGAAAATACTGTTTCCCAAACGGAAATCTAAGGTATACACGCTGGGTCACCGATGCTCAATGGGTAAAACTCCTCACTGGTCATCGGTTTTCTCTTAAACAGTGTTCATGACAACTGGCAACACCTGGCAAGGTGTGCGGCAACCACAATGGAGCAACGAGGAAAAATTTTGTTGTTCTTCAAAATAAATATGCTTTCCTCCTTTATACCAGGTGATGCGGGCCGGTCCTACCCACACTTCAGACCGTGCGGAGAGGGCTGACCGGGAAGGCAGGCTCGGCCGCTGCCCGCAGCCGCGCGCTCGCCCTCGGGAGCCCACTCGCCACGCTCGGCTGGTCTGCAAGTGTCTGGTTTCCCTCGGCTGCTCCAAGCATTAGGCAGAAACTGCCTTCGGTACATTTATGAAATAAGTCATGGGGACGCCTTGATTTCAGGTTTTTTTTTTTATCCTCACCAGAGGACATTTTTGCATTTACCCTCAGATAGAGCAAGAGGAGATAGGGAGGAGGAGAGAGAGAGAGAAACATCGATGTGAGACACACATTGAGTGGTCACCACCCACACGACCCCAACCGGGACAGGGGACAAACTGCAACAGAGGCACGTGCCCTTAGCGGAACTGAACCCGGGACTCTCTTGTCCGCGGGCCGATGCTCCAACCGCTGAGCCAAACCGGCCAGGGCTGATTTCAGGTTTTTGAGACCCTGTGCCGAGGGCCAGCTCTGTAGTGACTGAGCTCCTGATCCATGGAAAACGTGAGATGACAAATGTGTCCTGTTTTAGGATGTGAAGTTCAGGGCAATTTGTTACATAGCAACAGAAAATGAAAACAGCCCTGGCCAGTTTGGCTCAGCGGTTAGAGCATCGGCCTGCAGTCCGGAGAGACCCGGGTTCGGTTCCCGCTAAGGGCACGTACCTCGGTTGCAGTTTGTCCCCGGCCCTGGTTGGTCGTGATGGTGGCAGCCACTCGATGTGTCCCTTCACGTCGATGTTTCTCTCTCTCTCTCCCTTCTTCTCTCTCCCTCCCACTCTCTCTGTACAAAAAATGGAAAAATATCCTCAGGTGAGGATAAAAAAAAAAAAAAAGAAAACATCCTGTCTAGTACTTGAATCAATTTGTTGGTACCTTGGTTCTACAGTTCAGAATCTGAGCTAGAATCAGGCTTAGTGAGGACATATTTCTTCACACCCATAGCTACCTGACTAAAGTCCAAGTATCTTACCAAAAATACGACATCCCACTAGAGCACCCTTCCCTCGATGCGCCATCTAAGCCCAGAGCCTCAGGGCAGCCTACGCCTCCTGCGCACTGGCACCGGCTCTCCGTTCTTCTCCCACAGCCGTCTCAGGGCGCGGTCCGTTCCGAGGGCCCTTCCCCGCGCCGCCCCTTCCTTCTCCCTCCTTGTCGGGACTCCCACATTCTAACATCAGCCACACTCCCTACAGCATCGTCCATCATCTGTCACCCGCAACAGGCCACGCAAAAGCTTTAAACTGAAAATTAATTAGCCGTAAAACTTAGATCAACATCTGGATTAAGATATGAAATAGATATGAAAAAATTCTGGAGGTGTACAAAAAGACAACTGTACTTCAAAAAACTAAATCTATTATGTTGCTCTCATTTATCATTCTGACAATGGGACTCAAGCTATAGACTTAAAACCAAAATACACCTTGAGATTGTACTAAATGAATGGATTTGACACAAGGTAATCAAGCCAAGAAAATCCAAGAACCAGGAATTGCATGTCCTTAGCTGTAATTCAGAGGGAGCTTTGTGGAAATAAAAAAAATGACTGGGGTTTTAAAACCCAGCAGTTACATTTTGTCTGTGTCAGGGCTCAGAAAATGTGTCTATAAGGGCCAGGCAGCTGACAGTCTAGATTCTGTGGGCCACAAGTCTCTGTCACACCCCTCAAATCTGCCACTGCAGTTTGAAAGCAGCCATAGACACTGAAACAAACAGGCAGGCTGTGTTCCAATAAGACATTCTTTACAAACACAGGTGGCAGCCAGACATGGCTCACAGGCTGTAGTTTGCCCACCTCTGGTCTACAGAGAAAAATGATAATCATTTAAACAAATAAGTATCTCAGAAACTTACTGCTTAATTTTATCATTTCTAGGTCCGAATCTCGGTCCAGTCGGTCCCCTTCTGAAAACAAAATACCAAGTGCACGTGAATACTGAGAGCATAACAAACAAAGGCAGAAACAGAAACACACCCTCAATCAAGCTGAATTCTACACACGGTCAGTCCTTCCTGTAAGAGTCGGTATTGCTGGAACTGAATGATATGTAATGTCTGTCCTTCTCTGGTACCTACTGCTGGCCACAAGTAACCTAATTCTTCTGAATATTATAACTTTCAGAGAAATTAGGGTCTATATAATCCTTACACAAAGGATGTTCTAATGGTTAAACTTTGAAACACCACTACAACCAAAGGGCCAGTGAGTATGCATAGCTTTATGATCAACTCTAGAAAACTAACAACATAGCTAAAGGGAAATGCAGGGGTCTATCAACATTTCTCAAATTATTATTTCTCTATTACAGTCAAATAGTATTTCACTGTAACCAATCCATTTTAAAATTCTGGAAATTAAAAAAAAAACCTTTTGAATATTTTACATCATCATCATTCTTCTGATGATAGAGAATAAGGTATAAACTACAAAACTCACAAGAAAATGGGTTCTGCAGTAATTCAACACGAATCCCCAGCCCCCAGTCCCAGGCCCCAGCAGCCTCCAGTCTACGGTGTCGTTATGCCTTCGACCACTGTCAGGGCCTCATACGAGTGGAATCACGTCAAAGATGTCCTTTTGTGACCAGTGTCTTTCCCTTAGCCTAGTGTCTTCAAGGTTCATCCACGCTGTAGCATGTGTCAGAATGTCTTCCTCCTTAAGACTGGCAGTCCACTCTATGTAGGTATCACATTTTGTTTCTCTCTCCATCCACTGGTGGTCACTGGTTGCTTCCAACTTTTGGCTATTGAGAATAATGCTGCTATAAACATGGGTGTTGTTTAACTTAAAAAAATCATTTCAAGAACTTTATTTGGTGTGTCTCCCTTTCAATACACAGTCAAAAGCACAGGGCACAGAAGCTGCACTGTGGACAAGTGCGCCCGCCGTGGTCAGGCCCTCGGGAAGACACTCAGCACGACCCGGAGTGGACCTCCTGTGGCACACTGTTGCCTGGGGAGTTAGTGCTGCCCAAGGGGCATCTAAACTCCATGCAGGTGGCACTCAAGCGACCGAAGCGCCTGGCTTCTTTCCAAAGCGGGGCTTGCTGACAGGTGGCCCTGCTGCGGACGAGGCTCCCGCTGTGATCAGCACGACCAGTCGTCAGCTGGCCTCTCCACGCAGATCCTGCCACTTGCAGGAGATTCTCCCCCTTTCACCTGACCTTTCTGCAAAAAACGATACTGTTTCCTGTCATTGGGTTTGTTTTATATCCTATAGGCTCTTTTTATTCATTGGTTCATGGTTATTAATTACTTTGTATTCCATTTATCTTCAGATACAGTGGGGTGGAGAGGGAAAGGGGGAGAGAGAGACATCAACTGGCGGCCTCCCACGCGACCCCGACAGGGCCGAGGACGAACTGCAACCGAGGTACAGAATCGAACCCTTGACTCTTTGGTCCACGGGCCAGCGCTTTACCACTGAGCAGAACTGTCCAGGGCAGTTGTCAATTACTTTTTATAATTTCTTTTTGGTGGCAGGGGAAAAGCCTCTACAAAAAAGGTCACAACTTTAAAAGAAAGGGAGGTAGGCTCTACATCAACCTCCAGAGAAAGTGCAAAGCACGCCCTCTTCCCGACTCTGCACATACAAACCCAGGCCGTGTGACAGCCCTTCAAGCACAGCTCCACACGACTGATCAGACTGATTCATTCCGACAAAGCGACAAGGCAAGTCAGTGGTGGTGGCACAACTGAATATATGCCAAAAAAAATAAAATAAAATTGTCCTTCACTTAACTGTATGTAACAACTTAAAAAATATATAATAGACCTAAATGTATGTAAAAGCCAAAACTATAAAACTCCTAGGGAAAAAGAAAAATCTTAGTGACACTGAGTTTAGCAAAGATTTCTTAAATAAGCAAAAATAATTTTTAAAAAATTAATAAATTTATTTCATCAAAATCAAAAGTTTGACCTTCAAAAGATACTGTTGTAAAAATTAAATGATTTAGCTGCAAACTGGGAGAAAATATTTATAAAACGTATCTGACAAAGAACTTGTTTCTTGAACAGTTCCTTATATAAAATTGGGCAAAAGATTTTAACATATAATTCATCAAAATAGATGATGAAAAATGAGCACATAAAAGACTTCCACATACTTTGTTAATAGGGGAATGCAAATTAAAACCACATGAGATGCGCCCTGGCCAGTTTGGCTCAGCAGTTAGAGCATCGGACCGTGGACCAGTAACTCACAGGTTCGATCATGGTCAAGGGCACATACTTTGGTTGCGGTTGTCTCTGGCCCTGGTCGGAGTCGTGTGGAAGGCAACTAGTCGATGTGTCCCTCTCATATCGATGTTTCGCGCTCTCTCCCCCTCCCTCCCACTCATCTGAAGATAAATGGAAAAATATCCTCGGGTGAGGATAAAAAAACAAACAACACGAAACCCAAACGAGATGCCACTGCCCACCCACGAGGGCGGTAAAGTGACAGACGGGCTGTGTGGAGCTGATGAGAATCTGGGCAGCCAGTCTCAGACAGCGCTGGTGGGAACGTAAAACGGGACAGAGCGCTGAACACACACCAGCCATTCCACACCTAAGTATTTACCCAAGAGACACGAAGGCAGATGCCCAAACACCTGCATGCACATGTCTATAGCAGCCTTATTTGCAATAGCTGAAAACTAGAACGACCCCAACTAGCCGTCAATAGTGAATGAATGAATGAACTGCAGAATATTCGTGCAATGGAATACTACTCAGAAATAAAAAATAAACTGGATACACGTGACAGCATGGATGAATCTCAAAATAATTATGCAGAGTGAATGAAGCCAGTAGAAAAAGAGGCATAATGTATGGTTAAACTTTTAACCAAATTCTAGAAAATACAAACGATAGTGACAGAAAGCAGATGGCAGCTGCCTGGAGACTGGGAGGACGAGAGGGGACCACGAGGGGACTTCCGTGGTGGTGCTCTGTTATCTGATCTGGGTTGTGATCTCACAGGTGTACAGCACATAGGTCGAGACCATACTGCATGGCTTTTACACATCAATATGACACGCAACTGCTGTTATATGTCAATTACATCCCAATGAAGCTGTTAAAGAACTTACAGAAAAAAGTCTTCCTCTTCATCTGAATCATCTTCCAAAAGATTTCTCTGTTAAAAGAAACAAATAACAATGGCCTGAGTTTTTGGACTCTGGGGGCTTACACACATCAGGAGGAGTAATAAATAAAACAAGTTCTGTCGTGGTGAAACCTTCGAACCCCAGGCCTCCAGGGTGAAGAGGGATTACATGTGCCTCAGCAGAAGCTGGAAGACAGAACCACATCTGCAGACTTCCCACAGAAAACGTTCTCTTCGTGGGATCCCACGACTGACCACAGGGCAGAAACGTCAGTGAAGCCGGTGAGGAGTGAGAACAGCAGGCAGCCGGGGGCAGCAAGTCCCCTCTCCTTCCCCTGCCTTCCAGTTGCTCTCTATTCAGCTGTCACTTAACAGAGAAGCTTGAGCACCTTCTGCGCGCTGGGCACTGCCCTAAGGACCAAGCGCCAGCTGTGAACGACGCAGACAAGGCCTGAGCTCGCACAAAAAATAGCTGATGGTGATAAATGTGCGGGTTACAACAGTGATGGGACAGAAAGTGACAGAGTGACGAACGGAGATTAGGTTGTCACGGAAAATCATTCTCAAGAGGTGAAATTTAAGCTGAGATCCAAATGGTAACAAAGGGCCAACCAAAGATGGGGTGGGGGGGTGTTCACGGCCAGCAGAGGGTGCGATTTGACTTTTTTCAAAAACAAAAACTACCCACAGTTAAAGTTCAAAAGTGTCCAGCCAGCATCTGTTTACAAGAAATTCACCTAAAAAAATGTCAAGTAAAAGGTAAAAAAAAGAGGTGAGGAAGATACATCAGCAAATTCTAAAAAAAAGGACTTAAGAGTTAGCAACATTAATATAAAGAGGAATTTTAGGACAAAGGCATTAAATAATCAAGTAAAAAGATGTTACAATGATAAAATGCACACTTCACCAAGAAGATTTAACAACAATGAATGTTCATAGCAATGTAGCTTCAAAATATGTTCAGCAAAAGTTATTTAAATTACAAGAAGAAACAAATGCATTCAAAATTATAGGAAAAATTTAGCATAGTCTTCAGAGATGGAGAAACAGAGAAGACTAAATAATATACAACTCTGTACTCAGCAAATTTTATTTTCAAATATCCAAGGAAAGGATAAGCTTGAAAAGAATTTTAATACATTCCAAAAGCTACAGAGGTCACATTCTCTGGGCATAATGCAATGGTAATTTGAACAAATAACAAAAGGAAAATTTAAAACACTTCTAATTAAACGCATTAAAACATAAATGGAAGTTTAACAGACTAATTAAAAATGAATGATTCTGGGACCTTACAGAACAAAATCATAGGGTATGTCAAGGTAGTACTTAAGAGAAAAACATGATCTTAAATGCATTTATTTATGAAATCACAAAGACTGACAACATATAAAATATGAATTTAATCTTTAAGGTGGGTAAGTTATTCCCACGCAACATACAACCCCAGAAGATTTAAAGACAAAGAGTAATGCATTTGATTACAATACATTTAAAATACAAAGAACAAAGGACATGATAAGCCAGGTTAAATGGCAAGTAACAAATTGGATAGAAATAAAAATCTGCAACATACTTTCAGATCCAAGGTCTGCTATCTGTATTATATAGAGCTCTGACAAACCAGCAGGAAAAAGACACATTACAGAAAATCATCAAAGGAGAGGAACGGACAATTCCCAATAGCAGCAGCAGCCACTGACCGCATGAAAAGATGTTCAAAGTCAACAGTATCTAGGGAGATGCTTTAATTCCTTCAACAAATATTTCCTGAATGCTATTCTAGCTAGTACGTAACAAGATAATCATCACCTTCATGATAGTTTATTTGCCTTAGAGGATGATGATACTGAAGATAAAGAGTTTGCACTGGCTGTATAGTGAGAAGCACACATGAAAACCAGTGTTTTATACCCGTCCACTGAACAAACATTAGTGCTGGAAATTAAAAAAGATAACGGGACACAGTTTGATACCATGTGACACGCACTAGGCAGATAATTAACAACTGTGGGTGAAAAGGAACTGGTGTCGAGGAGAACTGTGGAGAGACTGGAATGCCCACACGTGGGAATGTAAGCCCTGTGCAGCCAGCGTGCAAACCAGTTTGGCAGGTCCCCAAAACACTGGACATGGGATCACCTATTAGTGGGATTCAGCAATTCCACTCCTAGGTATTTACCCAAGATAAATGAAAACACATTCACACAAAAACTTGTACATGAATGTTCATAGCAGTAGTATTATTCGTAAAAGCCAAAAAGTGGAGATAACCACAAATATCCATCAACTGAGAATGGATACATAAAATGTGGTATATCCATATAATGACTATCATTAAGCAATAGAAAGGAATGAAGCACTGATACATGGATGTACTTTGAAAACATTCTAAACCAAAGCAGCCAATTACAAAAGACAACATAATTGTATAATCCCGTTTATATAAAATGCCCAGAATAGACAAATCTATAGATTTGTGGTTGCCTAGGGCTGAGGGGATGAGGATAATGGGGGATGGTTGCTAAAAGGAATGATGAAAATGTCCTAAAACTGATTGTAGTGATGGTTGCACAATTCTGTAAATACACTAAAAACCACTGAATTGTATAGTTTAAATGAGTGAGAAAAATGTAATAGAGGGGGACCATAGAAAGTCAACAAAGAAATATTAGCCTTAAATGACACATCAGACCAGATGGTCTAATAAACTTTCCATCCTACAACGAGAGACTGCACCTTCTCAAGTGCACATGAACATTCCTGAGGAGAGACAACATGTTAGGATACAAACAAGTCTCAATAAATTAAAGACTGAAATCACACCAAGCACATGTTCTGACCAGTGGTATAAAACTGGAAATCTAGAGTATACAGATGTCAAATTATAAAGTTGTACACTTGAAATTTATATGTTATTAACCAATGTTACCACATAGTTTTTTTAAAAAAAGAATAACACTAATTCCTTCCCTTAAAAATATTTATTGAATACTTATAATAAAGAGTGCCCTATTTACAATGTTCATATCAAATGTTGTCTCCAAGATGGTGCATAATTTCTAGATTTATACATATATACATTAAATGTTTTGGAATAAGCTAGAAATTGAACATTATATAAATACCACTCTGAATTCTGAGACAATTATAGGACCAGAATCCTTTCTGTGCAATTCCAAAATCTGAAAAGTTCAGAAAAACCAAGAGATTTTGTAAGTTTGGAGCCAAAACTCATTTGGATGAAAACCTGAACTGATGCTAGCTAATTTACTTATGTGTTTTACCTACATACCTAGAATAAGCAGACATTGCGCTGAGAAGTATTAATGTTTGGAGGTGTTGCTCTGGACCCCCACAAGGCGGGTCTATAATATGCACTTAACTACCTTTCTAAATTCCAGCCACATCTGGCTCCAGAGTTCTGAGTGAGACACTGCATATTTGTATAAAATTCCCTTTGAAAGACTAGAAAGAAGCTGTGATCAGAAGTGAGAATTCAGCTGAGCTACCACCAAGGTAAGTAACGTATACTTTTAAATGTTTACTATGACAGACAAGCGGATTAGAATACAGCCATAAACTTTAGATTTTTCTAAAATAAATTACAAAGGGAATGAAAACATATTCTCAGTCTTTCTTTTGAAAGTTTAAGATTCTATACTTACCCTTTCACTTTTCACAGAACCAGTGACATCATCATCATTCAGGTGGCGCTTGAACTTGGGAGGCATTTTGTTTTTACTCTAGAAGGTGCCCTTCTACTTCCCAGCAGAGTGAGTCCTCACCACCTTAAAGAGAAAATAGATTTCATTGGATTTGAGCCTTTAGGGTATCAGGTAAAATACTTACAACAGAGTACAAGGCCCTAGGCCAACGGGCCTCCCTCACTTCTCTGACTTCAACTCTTGCCTTGGCACTAGCTCCTTCCCAGGGGCCTCCATGCTAGGCCTCGATAGTGAAAATCACGAGAAAATGGATGTAACTTTCTTAGGAGAATATGTGGAGGAAACTAGTGAAAGTTTTGTGTGTTTTTTTTAATTTTTTTTTTCTTTATTGATTTTAGAAAGAGAGGAAAGGAGAGAGAAACAGAAACATCGACGAGAGAGAACATCAATTGGCCACCTCCTGCATGCCCCCACCGGGGACCGGGCCCCACAACCAGGAATCGAATGGGTGACCTCTTGGTGCATGGTCCACGCTCAACCACTGAGCCACACTGGCTGGGCGTGACATTATATAAATAAAAAAGTTTTTTAAAATGAAAAAGCAAACTGCACAGGAGGGGAATACAGGAGGTGCTTCCCTAAAAGTGAGGCACTGCGTGTTTTAGGGTTTTAACTTGGGTCAGAAGACAGCGGATCACTCCTGGTGCTCACTTTAGGTTAGCTGCTAGAACGACGATTCAGTTCTCTCATCTGCAAAATAGTGTTTAAGCTTCTAATCAGTAATATATATGAAAACATTCTATAAACTCTAACATCTTGTTTTCAAGCACAGCACTGGGTGTTCCAAGAAAAGGGATGTTTGGTAAGTACTGTTCAACAAAGCCAGGTTTTTTTTTCCCTTCAGAAAGTCTCACTTCCTTTTATATGCTAATATGCATAATGATTTTCCAGAAAAATGCTTGAATATGCAACATACTCAAAATTTTCTTGAGAAAAAGCTGACATGTACAGGCAGTATAAGTTTTCAACATCTCGGACTAGAAGATGGATGAATAATAGGAATAGCTAAGGAGTGCCCAATGTTTTACTACATGCTGAGCACAGTGTTCAGGGAGTTAAGTGCATTTCCTGTTACTCCTCTGAAGAAAGCACTAGAAAACAAGAAAGAAAGCTAAGGCTTAGTAAAGAGAAGTAATGAACAGTGTTAGTCACTCTTCATTGAAACAGCAGAAACACAGGCCTTGATTAATCAATGGCTGTACATGATCAGTTGTGATATTTATTCAGTAAGTGGCCCTCAGGTTACACAGCTGGATTTGAGAAAGACCTCTTCCCTGTAAAAACCCAGCAGCCCTCCTTCCTGTTCCACAAGAAACTGAAGACAATCTTCAAATTAGGTATAGCTGGATACCCGTTTGTTGGTTAATGCTACACAGTAAAAAATAAATAAAATAAACAAGCCCAGAGCCGAGTTTCATAAACCAAATGCAAGTAATATTTTAAGCTGGTTTCCTGTCAAAACAAATCGATAGACACTTTCCTTTGATAAGAAATGCTTTTGAACCAGAAACGTAATCATGTGTAAGAAAAAACAAACTCTTGCCACCTGAGTAAACAACTCTAGAGTTCCTTCAACAATATTTCTGTCCCATGCATCTGGCCCATTTTATTCCTCTTTGATTTCAGAATAATTCATTCATGCAGAAATGTTAAAAAACGCATGAAAAAAAAAAATGACAAAGGAAGCAACTGAAGAACTGAGCTCTTCCTTATACCTGGATTTTGTTTGCATGTTAAACCCCACAGAGGGTCTACCTCAACCTCCCAAAGCAGGTAACAGGCAGAATTACATAACACCTTTATGAAATACACAGTGAAGCCACAAGTTTAATGGTGGGCAAAACCCACGTTCAGGACCCATGATCCAAGGATCAGCTTCGGGAAGGCGAGAATCCAACAAAAAAGCCATTAGCAACGCAGCAGGCAAATTAATTATGTAGCATGAACCACAGGGCAACTGCTGATACCTGTACCAACCAACTCGTAGGAAAAAAGCCATGCTTAGAAATTAGACCTATAGTCTATCTGAGATGATTTCTGCAAAAAACACGTATGCATTCAGGTGCTTCTGTCTAGGTATTTACGTAAACAAGAGGCTTGATGATATTTTTCAGCATGGAGGGCAAAACAGCAATGCACAATTCACCTAAAAAATGTCATCCCCGTCGGCTTCTTATGCCATCCTCCCACTTTTACAATGTCATGTGTGTATTTTTAGAAGAGGCAGTACGTGCTCTGTTCAGGGCCTTTACACCTAACACACTTCTAACCTGGTCAATAAATGTTGGCAGAAAAGTAACAAGCAACCTCTGTTCCATTTCGCATAACGCTTGCACCCCGGCGAGGCCTCCCTGGACCCGCCTCCACTCCCTCTCTGGCTCCTGGTTCCCATCTCTCGCCCGCGGCCTCGGCTGGTGCAGTTTCCGGGCAATCAGTGGCCTGAATTGGACACAGCTGGCAGATGCTGCCCGTCACAGACCTGTCGGCGCAAGGGCTTCCCGCACCTGCCAGTCATTACACCCGAGCCTTTTAAATCCCGGCCCAAGCCCGGCCCTCCGGCCGCGGCTCCTCCCTCCGCCTGCTCCGTCGTCCCAGGTCTGCGAGCCGGTCCTTGGGGCCCCGCGGCACCCACTCCCTCCCGCCGCCTCCCCGCTCCTCCCGCCCGCACACGCGTCCCCGTCGCCCTTCCTCACGACGCCCCGGACCGATTCCCGCCTCCTCCCGCTCGGGGCTCCCTCCTTCCCGGGGCCGCAGGCCGGTCCCGCACCGCGACGCGGACGTTGCGGGGCCGGGGCGTCGTCTCTGTTTTCTTCCTCCTCACCAGCCCTCACCCCCCGAGACCAGGCGGGCGCCCTACCTGAGCCTCCGAGGAGGTCTCGGGGAAGCTGCGGGGAGGAGCGGGGAGCCCAGGAAGAGGGCGGGCAGCGGAGGCAGTGGGCGCCCACCTGGCGTCGGCCGCTCCGCTGCAGCTGCGCCCCCGCTCATCGAGCCCATCGGCGCTCCGCGGCCTGGCGCCGGGCGGAGGGGGCGGGGCCTGGCGCCGGGCGGAGGGGGCGGGGCCTGGGCGGGGCCAGGCCGCAGCGATCGCCGAAGGAGTCGATCTCGCCCTCCGCTGTCTACCGAGTGGGAGGACCTGGAAGGTCCGGAGTCCGAATCGGGGTCCCCAGGGTTATGTGGTGCTTTAAGGGAGGAGCAGCTGGCTCCGGCGTTCCGGGGAGGCGGAGGCGACTCTGAGAGGTCACTCGGGGCGGGCGGAGGAGACCCTTCGAAGGAAGCCGAGGAGAACAGGACCGGCCTCGGGCCGTCTGGGGCTCTTCTGAAGGGAGCTCTGTGGGACCCCTTGTTTAGGGAGCCAGAGTTGGGCTTGGAGAGAGCCTCTGAGGGTTCCAGTGCAGGCTCCTCATTTTAGACAGTAGGAGGCTCGGGCCCAGCCTTACCGAAGAGGCTGCACAGCTGCTTTGGGACGAGGAGCCCCTGTTCTTGCCCTTGCGTCCTTTCGCCCAAAGTAACCAGGTGCAGACGCCGAGCCCTCCGGCTTCAGGAGGGAAGTCACCCTTGCAAAGCCATTCCCCTGCCCTAGGCCTTCCTCCCACGCCTCCCTTTCCTTCTACAGGTTTCTCTTTTCCGAGGGGGAATCCCCTCCTCCAGGGTGCCCCCCGGCCGTGCTCGGCCCTGTGTGGCTCATTATCTGGACTGTTGACGAAGCGAACATAGAAAGCCGGAAGCCTGCCCTCTCCCAGGGTTCGGGGCCCAGCTTGGGTTCCGGGCAGCTGGCCACTTCCGTCCCGCCCCCGGCCCCGCCCCCTTCCGCCTCACGTAAATACACGCTCGGCGCCTGCGTGAGGTGAGCCCGTTGCAGCCAATGAGGTGCCAGGAACGAAAACCAGTGACCTATGAGATGCTGGGATGGTCTGGGCAGCCGACCAATCGCGAAGCCTCGCACCCGGATATGATTGCGAATCTGAACTCGTGCTCTGGGAAAGTGAGGGGCTCCGCGTGTGGGCAGGGGCTGTGGGTAGAGAGTGAGCGTGTGTTCGGTTCAGTGTCTCGCGCGTGCGGTCCGCATGAAAGGGTCCTTCCTTTTGGTTTTGAGTGGAGAAAACAACAACAACGTGGCTGCTTATCCGTGGGAAGAAATCGCACTGAAGTGTCCCGGAGCCAGCTTGGGGGAAGGACCCTCCATCGGGACCTCCCTTCCAGGGGGTGTGGACAGGGCTGAAGACGCAGCTCCAGTGCGGGAATATGAATCTCTTGCCTAAGAGCTCCAAGGAGTTTGGCTCCGTTGACTATTGGGAGAAGTTCTTCCAGCAGCGCGGAAAGAAAGCTTTCGAGTGGTACGGAACGTACCTGGAGCTGTGCGGGGTGCTGCACAAGTACATCAAGCCCCGGGAAAAGGTAAGCGCGGCCTGGGAAGGTGGGGACTGCCTTCCACGTTATCCTGCACGTGGTAGGCAGTGACACGCGTGGGGGCCCAAAATTGAGCCCATAATTTCAGGATTTCATGCTAGTCATTCTGGCTAAAAGACAATTAAAAGTATTCTTTTAAAGGTTTTGAGATAAAAGACTTCCTGCCCCCAGGGGATCCTTCAATTCATAACCCCACTGGAAGAATCATTTCTTATAGTAACCCAACCTAGGTATGGTCTCCTACAGAACTGCATGTTGATGAAGCAGGCACTAGTTGTGGCTTTACTGATCCACGAATCTGTTCTCAAATAGTTGTTGTGGGGCCGTGTGCCTAGCCTTAAAGTTACAAGAGCATTAAGGTATGAGCCTCGGGCATGATCCCAAAGTGAAAAGTGATAGGTACCATAATAGGTATGACAGCATTGGGCCTGTGGAGGGAGGGAGGGAGGGAGAGTAGAAGGCTTTAAGGAAGCTTTAAGTGCCAAGCCTTGTGCTGGGGGGGGGGTGTGTGTTCATTTGATAGCTGAATTCTCATAGTAAATTACATGAGGTGAGTGGTGCTGTCTGCATTCTACAGATGGGGAAACTGAGGCTCTAAGAACCAGTTTCTCACCTAGGATGATACATGTAGTAAGTGGCCACATGGGAATTTAAACTCTGGCCCATCTACTTCCAAAGCTATGCACCTCTCATTGTATATACTGTGCTCTTCCGGAGATGGCAACATCAGGGCAGGATTTTGAAGGATCAATAGGAGGTTGCTCCACAGAACAGGAGGCCACAACCTGTGTTTTTAAGTTTGGTTTCAGAAAATACCAGAGTATCAGGAGGAGCCAAAGGCATGAGTGGAACAGGATTATGCCAGAACTAGGTTTTCAACAGTAAACAAATAGGAGCCTTCAACTGTAACTACTTAGTGCATTGGTGTTCTCTTCTGTGACAATAGCATCTCCCCCTTCTGAAACCATGCAACAGTCCAGGTGAGACTTGATTCCTCAAAGCATTTGAAGCCCATTCCTTTGCCTTGGTCATCTCCATTGTGCTGTTTCCCTCCAGGTTCTGGTGATTGGGTGCGGGAACTCAGAGCTCAGCGAGCAGCTGTACGACGTGGGCTATCAGGATATCGTGAACATTGACATCAGTGAGGTCGTCATCAAGCAGATGAAGGAACGCAATGCCAACCGACGGCCCCAGATGAGCTTCTTGAAGATGGACATGACCCAGATGGAGTTTCCTGATGCCTCATTCCAGGTGGTGTTGGACAAAGGCACCCTGGATGCTGTCCTGACAGATGAGGAGGAGAGGACCCTGCAACAGGTGGACAGGATGCTGGCTGAGGTTGGCCGTGTCCTGCAGGTGGGCGGTCGCTACCTCTGCATCTCCCTGGCTCAGGCTCACGTCCTGAAGAAAGCAGTGGGTCACTTCTCCCGGGAGGGGTGGATGGTCAGGGTGCATCAGGTGGCCAGCAGCCAGGACCAGGTGTTGGAAGCAGAGCCTCGGTTCCCCCTGCCTGTCTTTGCCTTCATCATGACCAAGTTCAGGCCAATCCCTGGCTCCTCCCTTCAGATCCTTGAGCTGTGTGCTCAGGAGCAGGGAAAGCCCATGCGGCTGGAGAGTGCCGAGCAGCTGGCCGAGGCGGTGCGGGAGCGCCAGCAGTATGCCTGGCTGTGTAGCCAGCTGTACCGCAAGGCCGGGCTGGGGAGTGTGTCCCTGGACTTGTGCAATGGGGACACAGGGGAGCCACGCTACACCCTCCACGTGGTGGACAGCCCCACTGTGAAACCATCGCGGGACAATCATTTTGCCATTTTCATCAGTGAGTTGGGATTGGTCCCTCTTCCCTGGAGGGGCTGGGCGGGGGTGCTGGCGGATGGGTATGCCTTGGCTGGTTTGGTCTTGCAGAGGTGGTACTTTCAGAGGTTAGACTTCTCAAGGCACTAGGAAGGCACAGTAGCAGCTCTCCAGCTTCTGCTAAGATTTGGAGCTTATTTCTTCTCATCTTCCATCGCAAAGGCTTGGTGAGGCGGGAGAAGGGCGTTGGTGGGGAGGAGAGAAGTAATACAGATACATTTAGGCAAGTCACACACTGTAGAGATGGTAGTTACTTTGTAACATGGAGTAGTGGGCGCAGGAGAGTCTCAGCTCTGTGGCCTGTGAGCTGTGGGACCCAGGGACATTGCCGTGTCTCCCTGCTGAATTTGGAGAGACGCCACAGAGCAGTGACTGAAATACTCAGCTCTGCAACCAGATTATTTGTTTCTGTGCCTCAGCTTCCTCATCCATAAAGTGAGATCATAACTACCTTGTGTAGTTGTGAGAAGTGTAAGAGCTCTTAGGAGGGGGCCTGGCACGTGATAGGTGCTTTGTGAGCATTAGCGTTATTAGTGGAAGGGGTAAACGATACAAGATCATTACTAATTATACATTAGCAATTATTAATTAATATAGTAATTATTCAAAAGAGAAAGTATGAGGGAATGCTTTTAAAAATAGAAAATCTTAGATAAATTCAAGGTGTTGATATGGTCACGCTGGTCACTTGTTTCCTGACGACCAAGCCATTTTCCCAGTGTTCCATAATCCTAACTGCACCTGTGGGGACAAACAGTGCCCTGGGCAGGAGGCGAGTATGGAGGCTGGGGCTGGACAGCCTGGGTTTGAGTTCTGGCTTTGCCATTTATTAGCTGTCAGCTTGGGCAAATAGTGTAACCTCTGTGACTCATTAATGCAATGGGAGCAATACCTCTACCTGCATCCCGGGCTGTTGTGAGGATTCAATTCCTTTCTGTTTGTAAACTGCTTGGAATAATACCCGGTGTGTAATAAGTGTTAGTATTATTGCTATTTTTTTCTTGCACCAGGGACCTGCCTCCTTGCCCTTACACTTGTGCTTACACTTCTTAGTCCCCCTTGGTCCTGCCTCATGTCGGATGGTGGCTTGGCTCTGTGCCTTGTGCTCTAGGGAACTGTATGCCCCTCTGTGGTCACAGTTGGAAGGGATGCTGGCCTGGGCCTGGCTCTCTGCCATGAGGTCATATCAGTAGTGGCCTTGAACACTCTTCCTGGGACTCCCTGTCACCAGGTGCTGTTTCTAGTTCCCCAGGGTCGGGAGACCGAGTGGCTCTTCGGCATGGAGGAGGGACGGAAGCAGCTGGCGATCAGTGCCGGCTTCAGGAGGCTGATCACAGTGGCCCTTCACCGAGGTCAGCAGTATGAAGGCATGGACAGCATCCAGGCCGAGCTGTCGGCCCGAGTCATGGAGCTGGCCCCGGCCGGGATGCCCTCCCAGCAGCAGGTAACAAACTCTGGCAGCAGCTTGCATGGGTCACCGAGAGGTCACATTAGCAGCCCAAAAACAGAGGGTGTCCTGGAAGGAGCTGGGCAGGGTCTGTGACCAGTCGGTCCTGGAGGGCCTGTCAGCAGCTGAGAACTCACTGGGCATAAGTCAGGTTCCCTTGCCCCAGGCAGTGCGAGGGGTTGTCCTTACTGAGACCTGCAGCAGCATCTTGGTCTGGGGCATGGGGGTCCTCAGACTCCGCAGAGGTGGCACGAAGGAGACACTGTCCCCCCGGCCGGCTCTA